CCCCCCCCTCCTCCTCTCCCTTCCCCGGGAATCATTGAAGTGATCTAGGAAGAAGTTGATCTCTATTGAACATCTCGTGTAGCGGACATAGCACATAGAGAACGTCGTCTAATATACGTAGAAAGTTTCTCTCTAATCGTACACTTATATATGAAAGATTGTTAAAAGAAAGTCGCACGATCCCTTCCGGATCCTCTCTCGTGTGAAAGCACACGCGCTTTTATTATATTCATTTAGAAAAATATCCAACGCGCGATTCATGCTTGACACGCGGATGTAACATATGTCGCAAAGTGGGCACGCATCGTGACTCCTTTGTGTGTTTAACACAGCCTTGGCGTTTACACGTTAAAAGCGAGTACAATGCATCGAACGTGTTACGCAGAGTGTTTCTTAAGTATATTGTGTCCAATGTTATGGAAGAATTCGTCGTTTTTTTGACGAAGGAAAATTCATATCGACATATAGTGTCAAAGGTCTCAGTCAGTCTACGTCAATAATTTTTTATAAGGAGGCGATTACAGATAAAAAAATGAAGGTAACGTTACCCTATCTATTTATCGACTCGAGTTTAGAAAAAAAATTTTTTTTTGTTTAGAGGCCACTAAGGAACTATTAATAGAAGCCATAATTATATAGAATTTTTAACACGACCTCTTAAACGAGACCCTTGAGATTATAATATGAAGATCAAAATTATGTTAAATTCTTTTTCTTCATAAAATAATCTCAGAAATCGCAACTCTTAAAATATTAGACAGTACTTAAGAAACATCCTGTATAAGTGCCTATGAGATAATTTTCTGATGAGGTAGTAACACTGCCAACCACTTTACGAGATATTCGAGCGATATATACCGAATTACTTCCCATACAATGAAAACATTCGTAGAAAAGTGCTTTCATACTTTTACGCTGCGCATCTTCCATCTGAGAGGTATAAGCGAGATCTCACCTCTCTATTTTATTAAAAATATTTCTCCTCTACGTATAAACGCTACTTCGTTATTTTGAGTATTCTGAATTACCAGAATATAGTTTTTCAAATGAAAGCTTTAATACGCGAGATACTCTTTTCGGGGAAACTGGAACGTCCAACGCCATTCCGCAGCTTAAGAGATAAAGGGATTCATTTCTGAGAAATACAATACATGTATATGTATTATTGTTGTTCCAAGATACTCGATATATGGAAGATGCCCAAGGAACATTTCGCGAAAATTTGCAACGGATCCGAGAGAGTCGGTGGACCATTCATACGACATGTGTTGTACATCGTACAATTCGTAAATGCGCACCGTGTCTTTTTGCAAACGGCGCGCTAAAGATTGCATATACATTTAATTTCCATTTTTCAACCTTTTAAACAATCACGAAAAAACAATCAGCGACCCGCTGCTTTCCTATCAACGAGCAATTTCTAACGATTTCTCTCCCTCTCTCTCTCTCTC